ATTTGAAAAGACATATCCGACAAAAGACTATTATCCAAAATATACAAAGAACACTTAAAACTCAATAATAAGAAAACAAACTGCACAATTTATTAAATGTGCAAAATACCTGAACAGACAACTCACCAAAGAAGATATACCAACTGCATGAAAATCATATGTTATCAAGGAATTACAAGTTAAAACAACGAGATAATACTACAGACCTATTTGAATATCCAAAATCCAAAACGCTGACAACACCAAATGCTGGAGAGGATGTGGAGCAACAGGAACTCTCATTCATTGCTGGTGGGAATGCAAAATGGTACAGTCACTGCGGAAGAGAGTTTGACAGTTTCTTACAAAACTAAACATACTTTTACTATATGATCCATCAATTGCACTCCTTGGTATTTACCCAAATGAGCTGAAAATTTACGTCCACACAAAAACCTGCACACAGTGTTTATAGCAGCTTTATTCATAATTGCTAAAACTTGGGAGCAACCAAGATGTCCTTCAGTAGGTGAATAAACAAATAAACTATGTACATCCAGACAATGGAATATTATTCAGAGCTAAAGGGAAATAAGCTATCAAACCATGAAGACAGGGAGGAAATTTAAATGCATATCAGTGAGTGAAAGAAGCCAATCTGAAATGGCTACATACTGTATGATTCCAATTATATGACATTCTGGAAAAGGTAAAACCATGGAGACAGAAAAAACATCAGTAGTTGCCAGAGGCTGCAGGGAGAAGGAGATGAACAGGCAGAGCATGGAGGAGTTTTGGGGAAGTGACACTCTTCTGTATGATGTTATGATGGTGGATACATGTCATTATACATTTGTCCAAACCCATAGAATGTCCCACACCAAGAGTGAACCCTAATGTAAACTATGGACTCTGGGTGATAATGATGTGTCAGTATAGGTTCATCAGTTATAACAAATGTACCGTTGTGGTGGCCATGTCAGTGGGGAGAGGTTGTGCCTTTTGGGGGACAGGGAATATGTGAGAACTCTCTGTACTCTCTGCTCAAGTTTGCTGTGAACCTAAAACTGCTCGTTAAAACGTCTGCGAAAACAAAACAAAATTTTAGTCTCCTACTACACTCCTATTAAATGGATTAAAAAGGACGACAACGATACCAAGTTGTTAGTGAAGATGAACAGCAACTGGAACTCTTATTCATGGCTGGCGGGAAGTGAAAACTGAACAGTCACTTTGGAAAACAGTTTGTCAGCATCTCTGGAAGTTAAACACACCCTTGCCATGGGACCCAACACTCCCACTCCTGGGTATTTACCCAAGAGAAAGGAAAACTTATGCTCACCCAAAAACCTATAGGTGAATGTTTATACCAGCTTTATTTATAATTCCAGCCCCAAACTGGAAACAACTCAAATGTTCTTCAGTAGGTGAATGGTTGGCAAAGTGTCATACATCCACTCAGCAGAATACTACTCAGTAATGGCAAGGAACCTTGATACTTTCAGCAACATGGATGACTCTCAGATGGGTTGTACTAAGCGAAAGAGCCGAGACTCAAAAGGCTACATACTGTGTGGTTTCATTTATATGGAAGAAGCAAAACTATGGCAGAAAACAGGTCAGTGATCGCTAGGGACTGGGGATGGAGGAAAGAGCTGACGACATTGGGGTGCAAGGGAACTTTCTGGGCTGATGGGAATGCTTTACATCGTGACTGTGCTGGTGGTTACCTAACTGTTATGAGTTTGTCAAAACTCATAGAACTGTACATTAAGGGTGAATTTTACCGTATGTAAATTATATCTCAATTACACAAAAAGACAAACGAACAGAATTTCTCAAAACTTTTCTCCTTCCCTACAGCTCCCAGACAGATACACTTCAGAAACACGTGATGGGAAAAGGAAGGTTTGAGGCAAACAATTTTGGGATTTTGTGGAACCCCCTTTGTGGTCTCTGCCAGCTGGTCCCTGGGCTCGGGGCACATACCCCTGACTGACCACCTGTCCCTGCCCTCTCCATTCCTGCTGAGGGGTTCTTCTATAGCGTCCCCTTGTCCTGGAGGGCAGACTTCTTGGACAGGGATATTTTGCGATGACTCAGGCCCAGCTACCGTGCACTGTGTCCAGCTGGTCCCCTAAGAAACATTCCTCTCTTTTGTTGTCAAACTCTGGAAGCACAGGCTGCTCCCACAGCAGTCCCCACCCCCGGTTTGGGCTACCCCCAGGGGCAGCTCCCACCGTCCTCTCGTCTTCAGGCTTTTCCATCTGAGAGGTGGGCTCAGGCTCTGTGTCCTCTCAGCTCCAGGGAAGCCCCGGTGGCCAGGCTTGAGCCTTGTGTGGTGAAGCACAGCACTTGGACAACTCCCTCCATGGCAAGTCTCAGTCCCTTTCCTCCTCTCCCAGGTCGGAGTGAGTCTGGAGGCAGGTGATGGGGTGAGGACATCTTAATCTCTGCCCGAGTCCTGCTGGGTTGTGTCTGGTGCTTCTTCTTTTTTTTTTTTTTTTTTTTGCTGTACGCGGGCCTCTCACTGTTGTGGCCTCTCCCGTTGCAGAGCGCAGGCTCCGGACGCGCAGGCTCAGCAGCCATGGCTCACGGGCCCAGCCGCTCCGCGGCACGTGGGATCTTCCCGGACCGGGGCACGAACCTGTGTCCCCTGCATCGGCAGGCGGACTCTCAACCACTGCGCCACCAGGGAAGCCCTGGTGCTGCTTTTGAGGTTCTGGGGGGACAGCAGCAATTCTGAGACAGGAAAGGCCCATTTAGCATAAAATTACACATAACTAGTATGTTATTTTAACAAAACTGGGATCTCTCTTACACATGTTTTATAATCTGCTTTTCCACTTCACACTATGTTTTGAGCATCTTTTCATGTCAGTAAGCACACCTCTACATTCACACCCTTTTAAATGACTGATCAGCATTCCCTTGTATGGAGGTATTGTAATTTACTATACTGAACCCTGACTGTTGGCTGTTTCAGGTTGTTTCTAATTCTAGCTTATTATTAACAATGCTATGATTGTCTATTTACATGCAGCTGATGGTGCTTTAGCTGCAAGGTCCTCACTTGCTCAGAACCTTTCCACATGCCCAGGAGAGCAGTCTGGCAATATTATATTCATGATTTTGTCTTCTTTTTGTAAGAAGGGACCTCTAAATTGTACGAGCTTCAGGCTCCACAAAAGCTGGATGTGCCCTTGGCTATGATAAACAACCTCACAGTCGTTTTTCTTTGGCTACGTCTAGAAGTGTAGCCAGAATTGCTGGGTTGAAGCAAATGCGCATTTTTAAGATTCTTGGAACATATTGCCAAGTAGCCCTCCAGAAACACTGATCTAATTTACACCCCATCCCTGCCCTGGCCAAGATACCCAAGCATGTGTTGATTTCTATGGGATTGTAGTTCCCTGTTACTGTGGCTTGGTTGTAGCTGCCATTAGCATTTTCTCCCCAAAGCAGGGGTCTTGACCTGAGACCCATGAGACACAAGGGTAGAATTCCTGGGGCTGTGAACCTGGATGAGAAAAATTTACATCTTTCTTTTCATCATTAGCATTTAGTTGAAGTGTAATAGCTCTTTCCATCACGAATGTGGGCCACAAATCCCTGAAGCATTACTAGGACCTGTGACGTTAGCAGTTCCACTACCAACAGAAATCAGAGATGTTTTCATGTCTTGTTACAGCTGTTGAAGGTCTCTCAAAATATCGTTCATGCTCAACAGTGCTTCAAAATTACAGTAATTTTTAGATCTGCAACTAGGTGTTGGTATTTAACGTGTTAATTAAAAAACATGTATTACCCAATTACAATTATTTTTTAATATTTTGAAAACTGCATTCAGCAGGATTGATTTCCTTTGTAATCATGCATTTTTGTTTTGTTTTATGAATTAAAAGACGTTATTCTGAAAAGGGGTCCACAGGCTCATCAGACTGCCAAAGGGTTCACGCACAATCAAGGTCAGAACACTTGCCGTGTGGGACTCTTGACTCGCATGTTCTGGAAACTTGGGCATGATACAAAAGGAAAGGAATTAAACTTTCATGACTGCTGCCTGGAGCCAGGCTCTGTGTCAGGTGCTGGGGTACAGAGGGGGCAGGATGGCCCCCTGCCCTTGAGGAGCTCACAGTCTAGGTGGGAGATGCAATTTCACAGCTCCTGCCACTCACTGTCCTGTGGGCTGGGGATTCAGGTTCTCAGATTTTCCAGGATTTTAAGACAATCATATGTCCATATTTATATATGGTCCCATATAAAACAACTCTTTCAATTTTTTAAATGTTGGCAACCAATCCAGATTTTTATAAACCACTGTGTGGGCCAAATAAAGCATGACTGAGGGCTAAATCTGGCCCACAGGCCACCAGTTTTCAACCTTTGCTCTAGGAGGAGAACAGAATTCCAGTTAGGGTGGAAAAAATTCATTCTGTGGAACAAAGCAGCAAGGATTGACCCCCATACACACCTCCACTCTGCTCCTGCAAACCAGAGAGAAAAGGAATTGGAGCCCTGGTCTTGAGAAGAGAAAACATGTGAGAAGGAGCTCTGTGGTGGGCAATGTAGGTGGGGCGGCATCCCTGCAACCTGGCTGCAGTCCAGGTGAGGAGAGGCCTGGCCGGAGGCAGATGATACTGTGGTGAGGGCATCAAGGGAGCTATGGGAACAATGCGGTCAATTAAGCGATTGTATACCCAGAAAACGCAAGAGCCTCTAGCAGAGAAACAAAAACCAAAAACAAATGTAAAAACAAAACAAACAACAATTAAAAAAAAACCCTATTTGAATTAGGACAATTGATAAGGTTATTGGCTATAAGATAAATATACAGGGGCTTCCCTGGTGGCGCAGTGGTTGAGAGTCCGCCTGCCGATGCAGGGGACACGGGTTCGTGCCCCG